GAAGCAATGGTAGTACAAAATGCCCCACGTCGACAAACAGCGCCGACAAGTCTTCATTTCGGGATGTTCTTGATGTGGAGCAACAGTTCCAAGCCAATAAAAACTTACCAGTCGTCTACCAATGTGGCGTGAAAGTACGTTCAGCGCGTTCAAATTGAGCAATGATCTGGCCGAGTTTTCTGCGAATCTTCTTCTGGTCATCGGCGGTACATTCAATAAGCTGAAAACAGCAAACAATTATTGAATGGCAATTTTGTCAAGTAAAGGCATAGTTTGTGCTCGTGGACGAGGTGGGTCGAGTTGGACATGTCAGGTGGACGGGGTGAGACATCGTGGACCAAGGCAGTTCAGCTCGTGAATGAGTGGACAGAGTAAAGCATCGGGATGAAAAAAATGGCGATGTCAGGCGACTCCCCACCCCCTTGCCAAGTTTTTCCTCTGGTCCGAGTCTCCTTCTCCCCATTCTTTCCTTCTCTGAGAGCCCCATTCTCCACATCCTACTTATCGTTTTCCTAAGTTTTCGCATTTTCACCGAGATTCTAAGAGATTTTCGTTTTTCCCATTTTTCTACAAGTGTCCGCCTTCGTATGGGGGAAGGGCTCAGAAACTTTTCCCTCAAAGGCAGTACCGCCCCCACCGACCAGACACAGCCTCACCTTCCTAGAGACCTGACGGGATTCTCCCAACGATGTTGCAAAGCGGTCGGGATAAAGTAGCCATGTGAACGAGTCGGGTCGGGGTAGACCAAGGCATAATATCAGTCAGAAGACAAGCACTGAAAGATGTGGCAAAGGCGCGCGTCTTTCGCACCAGGAAATAACTAACTCAGTGAATCCCACAGTATCTCGAGCTCATTAGCGGGAAATACACTCCATATCCCAGAAATGGCGAAAAAAAATCGTTTTCTGCGGAACTTTTCGGTTTTAGACTATCGTAATCCTGTCTTGTGCTAGGGAAAGACGTGAATACAACTGCTCAAAAGCGGCAACATTCCATCAAAAACGCATCCGCCGCAACGATGAAATGAAGTACGCAGCCACGCCCTCCCTTTCCATGTATGGGGTGCACTAGGTACCTTGTGCGCTACTCTATAACGTGGGCTTCTAGCCAAGACCCAGGTGAAATCAGCGAGCTGGAGAGGTCATCCTTAGGTTTTTCTAGAAACTGTAGAATCTTTCTAATATCTGTGAACCTTTCAAGAGCCTATTCCGCTTAAATTTGGCCTTCAGGACGCAACATGCTCTTGAAAATCGGGACCACCAGTTTTAGAAAGACCTGATAAGAGGGGATTGAGCTGCCTCATCAACGATAGCACTGAAATATCTAGAAGAACCACCTGTGCTTGGAATCTCTGATCGATTGGGCCGTCCGGTTGGTCGGGATTACATGCATTCAGATAACGGCGACAAGTCTGAATTGAAAAAAGTCAATAAGCTCTCAATGTGCCAACGTGGAAAATATGTACAATAGAAAGCTTCGGCTTCAAACAATTGCAAAATTGCTTAGTTTATTGGATTACGGTGGACTACCACTGTACATGGAAAAATTCAAAAATGACTTTTTTGATTGCAAGCTGAGTACTGCATGGGTGAGTTCACCTACAAACTATCGTCACCCACATATCTAGTCTAAATACAGGAGGTTCGCCCAGTTTGAAGACGTGCGACTGAAGGCAAAGCCCAAGCTGATTCCATGGGCGGATCCAGTACCGTCCCTCCCACTGCCTAATGTCCGTGCACCTTAAAATTCTCATACTAACCTCCTTCCCAGCCTGCATGTCTTCTTGCATTTTCTCGACGACTCCTTCAATGAGGTTGTTCACAGACGATAAGGCACGTTCCTGTTCGGTACTGCGTGGGGTATTTACAGACACCTGAATAGATAAGATATAATCTTGTTCGCCGCGGATGTTGGGCTGCGTGAGGGGTAGGGTGGATTCTGTGGAACACCAGCCCGTTTTTCCACCAATTTTTGTCGCTCGCTCGCTTTGAAAGTTGGTGGAGAATGGGATGGCGCCACCCCAAAACTGCCCTGACACGCCCCAGCGTCTGCAGAGAGTGCAAGGCAAAGTTAAGGATATAAAACTCACATCAACGGTCTTTGTTCTGGCGGCCAAACGATTGGTGATTGCAGTAATATCCTCACGATCGCCTAAACATCTTCATTCTTTTTCGAATTCGATGACGATTGGGAGGAAAATTTTGTCAGAGACTATGGGCTCCCAATACAACTCCTGCCCCCCCTCCCCCAACGCAAGTATCCCAAATGTTCAAATGAAGCAATAAGGGCATACCTTGTCCAAGCCGTAGCAACTCAGTGTTCAGGCTAACGCTGTTCAACATGTCCAAAATCTGCTCCTTCTCTTGCTCAAGCATTGATGCGGCCTCCCTAGAATTATGAAAGCATATTTTGGCGCAGATCGGTTTGGAAGGGGCATTTTGCACTTTTCGCTACTTCCCATCGTTATATTATCATCATGCTTGACAAGAGTTGACAGGTAGTTTCTACAAATTACAAGTAGTTTCTACATTGACTGGTATCATTTCATGGCTTCACAGGACTTTTTTAAATGGCTCGACTCGACAACGGGAAGTGGCGAAAGTGCGAAAATGCCCCCCCCCCCCTTCCAAGGCGATCTGTACACTGCGCTCCTCAAAAGTAAGCCACAAATAGAGATCAAGCTTTCATGGACCGAAAATATTTCCAGTTATTCATAT